ACCCAGAGGGGTGGGATGGGGAGGGAGGTGGGAGGGGGGTTCAGGATGGGGAACACATGTAAATCCATGGCTGATTCTTATCAATGTATGGCAAAAACCACTACAATATTGTAAAGTAATTAGTCTCCAAAAATAAAATAAAATAGAATAAAGTAACCAGAACTAAAAAAAAAAAAAAAAAATTACCGTTCCATTGCCTTCTGGCTTCCTGAGTTGCATTTGATACATCTGCTTGCTGTATCTGCTATTTGATGATTTGTATCTGATGATTTTTAAGTTCTACAGGGTAGAAGGCTGCCAGCTGGCCACAAGGTGAACCCATGAGTGACAGGCAAGATAGAAACAGTAGGAAAGGACACAGCACTCTAACTGGCAAGGAGCACACCATGCGTCAGGTGAGAGCAGCAGCCGCGGCGGGGCCCTGCAATGGTCCCAGGCAGACAGACACACAGTGCCTGGGCCGGTCAGGGACCCTCACTCAGCAATCTCCACTCCTGGAGGGACAGGGACCCCTCTGACTAAGCCAGTGGCTGCTCCGTTAGCCTTCTCGGTGGTTCTCGAAGTCCTGGTCCAACTTCATGTTACACAAGGAGCCACAGCAGTCTCCCCAAACGCCCTGGGAGGGCTACGCGGGCACACCTCCAGAGCTCAGCCTGCCCCCTCTCCCGGGCCGCCGGCTCTCCACACACTTCCTTTCTCATGGGTCTTAGTCCCACAGGTCGTCTTTCAGGTCCTGGAACCCAGGGAGCCGTTCTCCTTGGGGCCTTTGTCCACGGTCCTTCAAGTGTGACCGTCTCAAGTGTGGGTGACAGTCATCAAGTCCCAGCTCACACGCTACCTCCTCAGGAAGGCCTCCTACCCCTGACCTCCTACTGTTCCCACCCTGTCACGCCCTCCCCCGAGCCCTCGTGAGTAGTCTCAATATATTGTCCCTTGTTTCACTTGTCCTCAGTGCTCCTGGGGGCTCCTGGTGAGCCCTGAGGGTTGTGTTTAAGGGTGGTATTCACCATCATTCCCCCAGGACATGCAGACCATCTGGGAAGTGGTCAGCAGACCTCCAGCTTCAAGATGGAGGCCTAGGTTGAGCATTCATTCTGCTTCCTCTTGAATCCCTACTAAAATGGAAATAAAAGGATTTTTTTTTGAAGGACAGAGAGCACAGAGACCAGTCATAGCTTGGAGTCTGACACCAAGGTGCAGGAGGTAATCCGCTGAGCAGGTGCAGGAGTGCTTCCAACGTGTTCAGGGGAAGCCCCAGGCCCAGGGAGACTGTGTGGAGCCACCAGAGGGGAGAGGCAGAGTCTGGGGGTCAGTCTCCGCCACCCCCCATCCCCACTCGGGAAGCGCCCTCGGCCCCCAGCCAACTTTGGTTGCTCCATCCAACCTGGGAAGGCCCCCTCCCTCTTGGGGTAGTTCTGAGGAGACAGCGAGCACCTGGCCAGGGCAGGTGCCCCACCAGGGCCACTCAAGGGTCAGAAGAGCCACTCGGTGGGCCAGGTCAGTCCCATTAACAGGAGCCCTCCCCGGAAAGGAGCTGCCAACAGCATCACCCAGAGCCACGCTGGTTCTCACAGCCAGACCTGTGCCCTGCCGCTCCAGCACTTCCTCTCCCACCAGACAGCCTGGGGGCGGGGGCGGGGGGGGAGGAGATGGGGAAAGGGGGTCAGCTGGCCTTCTGAGAACAAGCCGGAAGATACCACGGTCGGGGGCTCCAGTTGAACCTGCTCCTCCATGAGCCTACCTATGGCCATCTTTCCATCTCACTCCCCCATGGGGGCTCTAGGGCCCAGTTTCCCTCCAGTTACAGCTAGCCCAGCCGCCCCTGCACCAATGCTGCTGGGAGACCCCTCTGCACCAGCTATCCAGCAGCCCCTATCATGCAGCTTGTGTTCTGGGATTTGTTCTGCACCCCACCCCCTGCAGGGGCCCCAGGGAGGGGAATGGACTTTAGAGTGAGTGGGGAGAACCACAGGACGGCAAGGGGAGCCCCACGGGGAGCCTGCCTGCCGGGGGGCCAGGGCAGGATGGCCGGCACTGGCTTCACTGTGGCTTCTTAGAGAAAATGGTGCAGTGCAGCCAGGAAATCAGGCAGGAGACGCAGAACTCGGCCTGCCCTTTCCAACCTCGTGGTCACCCTCTCCGACCAACACCAGCAATCTGAAGGGGGCAGTTCCAGGAGAAAAGCGGCCCCAGGGACATCTGTCAGTCTAGCTACTATAATGGGATTTTACTCTCATAAAAACCTGTTGCCAAGGACTCTGTATTTTTAGTTTTCACATGCCAGTCCTTATACAATTTGTTTTTGCCAGCTCATTTACACCCAAAATGTACTGACTACTGACAGACGCTTGGGAGAAACCTCCCGTATGTCAAGTGCTGCTTCACTTCATTCAGTTACCATCAAAGAACCAACCACAAGGACTTCACGTAAACTGCACGTTTATTAGCACTGGTGCTGCGACACAGCACTTCCAGTGAACATGCGGAGCTGCATGGAGGTGACTGGACAGGTGAGGTGCAGACTCGGGAACCGCGGGGCCTTACTTCTTCCACTCGTTCTTGTCGTAGTCCCACTTGGCCGAGAAGCCCTGGATGGGGGCCACCTTCATGTCCAGCATCCTCTTGGTCTGCTTGGCCACCCACTCCTCTTCAAAGGTGTGCGGGATGGGGCCGTACACTACAGTCCAAAACAACGTCATGAGGCGACACTGTCTTGACAAGGTGTTTCTAAGCCAACACGTCACACAGGTAAGTCTTCCCCATCTCACTAGCAACTTGATCAGCACCGTCATCGGCCACTCGACACCCACACCCACACAAACACGCTGGTTTCAAACCCTGTGCACTGACAACTTGGAACTTCCAAATTACACCCTGTTTGTAAAAGTGAGCATGAAAACACAACGCTAAAGCAGAATGTCTTCTGTGCAGGACAGAGACAGCAGGTACATGGGCAAGCGGAGAGCACAAGCAGAACCAAAGGCGACTCGTGAAGAGTGGACAGTCACAGGCCTGTTACTGACCCGCATCCACACGCAGGCAGCAAGGACAGGACCAGCCCTTCTCAGAATGGGCCAACCTACCCCACAGAACAGAGAACACAACACAGGCAGCACCAGAACAGGCAGGGAGCCCCGACACTGGCAGAGCAGAAACTGCTAGGTCTCGAGACCCAGACCTCTGGTGACCTGAGCTGCAGTGCCTACAGCCTAAACAGTCCCCCGATGGTAAGAGTTTCCTCCTCCTCAGTCTAACCTCCACCACACCTTCTGACACCTGACCGCTGAGCAGATGAGCTACCGGAAACATGCTGGGCTGGACAACCAAGCATGGCCCATTCAGGATCAATCAGCTGCAGGCCACACCACTTGAGTTCACGCGAGCCAGCCTCCCAAAGCCGGTGAACAGTCCAGGATGGAGCCCAGAATGGAAATGCCGGTCTGTGTGACGGCCCCGCCCCACTCACCATAGTGCTTCTCCCAGATGAGGAGGATCGCAGTGAAACCGATGAAGAACATGGCCGCGCCCACCACTGTCTTCCACTCGTTTGTGCTCCTGTTCATCTCAGCGAAGCTCTCCTTGAACTTTAGGCGGTACACTGAGGAGAGAAAGGACAGTGCTGCGGGCATAGGGGACCCCCACCTCGAGGTAGAGCTCCACAACAAAGCGGGGGGGGGGGGGGGGGGCGGTGTTGTGGAACATGGGAGTGAAGAACACAAGCTTCAGGCCCTGACACACCCGCTCACACTCGGGGGGTGGCGGGGAAGGAAAGGAAGATGCATGAAGTTTGTGCTGGGTGGAAAAAAAAACCTGAAGTTCTTATTTAGAGTAAGGCACGGGGCCCGTTTAATGTGCCTTTTTCCTGATGGTGTCAGTGATCCTCCTCAGTACTTCCCCCGAGCAGAGGCACAGAGGCGCTGCTCGCACAGGTACACCATCCCAAGTTCCGCTCGGTGGCTCTGCACCTGTTTCCGCTCCTCCTGGGGGCTAGAGCCCATGAGCATGGACAGAGGCGCCTGGGAGGGGGTTCAGCCAGCTGGCAGAGCTAAGGCCCTGGACAGCCCCACAGACGCACAGCACCCCACCTTCCCCAGCACACTGGTCTCCAGGCCCAGCCCAGAACCAGGAGAATTCTTGCGCAACACAGGCTGCCCGTGGTGCCTTCAATACCCACGTTCAACTTTCTCATCAATGGAGAGGCTGCTCCAGGAAGCCTTCTCCTTTTCCTTCAAGGCCTTCTGGCTGGCAGACAGGTTCTTGACGTGGGCCACATCGGGCAAGGGGTAGTCACGGCGGTCCACATAACCCGGGAGAGCAAAATCTTCACTCTTTACAACACTTCCTAAAAAACACGTTGGACAAATATTTGAAATTCACATAGGTTCCATTACAAACAAGGCAGTACTTCTAAGAACTGAAGTCACTCCAGGTATGTGCACCCTGAAAACCTCAGTCATCCTAGGGGCTGTGACCCCCACTCCAAACAGCCACAGGATGGTCGTGTGACATGGGGGCAGGCTCACCCCATGTGGCCCTGAGAGCAGGTGAGGGTGGAGGGTAGATGCTAACAGCAGCGCTCTTCATCACACCAAAACAGGAACCTGCCGGGGCACTGCCAACAAGAGAGCACTTCCTGCAACTACCAGGGTTCACAGAGGCTGGACAAGCTACTCAGGTCCCCTGGACTGACTGGAGCCTGGACTAAATGGAGGCCCTTCCACAGGGAACTCCAACTAACGGGGAAGAGCAATATCAAACTCATAAAAGAAACAAGGGTTCAAAGTTCAGAAAGAAAGACATGAAGAGGTGGCTACTGTGCACTGCAAAGTAGCAAATAACCGTAGAAATGTGTAACATGGAGTCGTTTGGCTTGTTCAACAAATGTTTACAGAGTGCCTACTGTATGCCAAGTGCTGTTCTAGCTCAAAATGGGAAGACAGTCATGTACACACCAAGTCACAGAACACTTTCAGGGTTATATTTTCTTTTTAAGAATCTAAGCTGGAGAAGGAAATGGCAACCCACTCCAGGATTCTTGCCTGGAGAATCCCACAGACAGAGGAGCGCAGTGGGCTGCAGTCCGTGGGGTTGCAGAACACAGCTTAGCAACTGAGCACATGCATGTGGGTGTGTACAAATTTTGAAGGATTCTGTGGTTATTTCTTAACAGTGTTACATGCTCATTAAAATAATTATAGGGACGCCTCATCAGTGATATATCTTCCCAAGGTGTAAATGTCCTCTGTTAACCTGTTTCTGCCTACAGAGTCAACTAATTTCACTAAGGCGAAGCTCCTTGGAAAAACTTAATTTATAGTCACTCTTTGGTTCTGTGAACAGCTTTGACTAGCAAATAAATCCTTTGAGTGCTTTTTGAATGTGAAAAAAAAAAAAAAGAATCTAAGTTATGTGTAGATACTCACATGAATATGCCACTAAACACAAGGTAAACCCAAGTTGTCATCAGTGGAAAGCGGGGATGAAATGGAGACTTCTGCCCAAAAAGATAAAAATTTCAGCACCTTCAAATTGGTGTGTACCCAATGTATTACTCTAGTAAAAAGGGGGAAGGTTCAAAAAGCAGGGGGAAAAGGAGTATCTTAAACTTTAAGGTTTTCCCTCAGCAAAAAGCTGTTTGATTCTACCCTATATTTGAAGGAAATTCTGTGTTTGGAACAAATCTGGAGGTATAAAGTCCTGCAAAAATGCTTCACCTCCATTAGCTTAGTCTGAATAATTGAAATCTCCCAAACCATGTTAACAACAGTGAAACAAAACCTTGCACCTTAAACAAAGCAGTAAAATTTCTCCAAATGCTCACTGGTGCCTTGCCTATGATTAGCACACTCATATATTCTTACCCAACCTTTTCCCAAAGAGACTGAGATGAAATGGCTAAAATTTTCATTTTACAAGTTTTCATTTAAAACTTTCCAATTTTAAAACTCTTAAGACTCTATTAAAATGATGAGTGGACTAAAAAGCACTCAGCTTACACGAGTTATTAAAAATAGATGTAAAAAAAAAAACCCATGTGAATTAGGGTGATGAGAATGTTCTCAAGTTGATTACAGGATAATGGCACAACTCAGCAAATGTACTGAAAACTGCTGAAGTGTAGCCTTTAATGTGTCAGGGTGTTATGGGAAATACATCTTAATAAAACTGTTACCAAGATGCAAATGCATATAACCTTCAAGCATCCTAAGCATAAAATTGCATTTTCTAGAACAAGAATGACTAATGCATGACCTCACTGCTGCCAAGGGCTCGTCAAGACTTTTGGCCTGGTTCCCTAGTAAATGGAGGGCTGGGGGAGGCCCGCCCACAGACACATAAATGTTAACACACCAAACATTCCTTTTAAAAGGAGAGAAAAGCAAAGATTTTGTACCCCAGTGAAGGTGTTATCATTTCTATCCTCGATCTGGATGGATACGGGGGCCTCTGCTGATGATATCCGGTGAATCTGAGCTCCCCTCTCAATCAGACGTGTCACCACATGAATACCCGAACTGCCAATGGGGGCTCCCAATGGCTATTCTATGTGGAGAATCAGTTCATGTATGACTTACACAACCAGAACTTTAGAATAAACGGACGAGACTCGTCTGAGAGACAGCAGTTTCCTCCATCTGCTTACCGTGTGCTCGAGAGGCGGCAATGAGTAAGCCCAGCAGGTCCCTGCGTCCAAAAGCTCACGCTCCAAGAGGCAAACACCCCTCAAACTACCCGCAAACCCACAGCCTCTAAGGAAGCACACAGGGCCAGACAGGACCTATCTTCCTGTAAAATGACACCTGCACGGAGGGTGACGACTCGAAGGAAGCACCATCTACACCTCTGGAACTGAGGCAGGAGGAGCCGGCCTGGCACATCTGAGAAACAAAACACCAGTGGGGCAGGGAGCGAGCCGCTGGGGAGGGCTGGTCGGGCTGCTCTCTGCCTTTGTGAGTCTGATGTGATGAGGCCAGTGGGGCCGGGGGCTGATGTTACTCCAGGCATGAGGAGCCAGCAGGTGGCTTCAAGTAGGGACCAACTAGATCTGACTTCTTATGCCAAAAGCAGTATCTAAGAATAAGCCCCAGTCAGTGCCCCTGAGGGAGAAAGAAGTTGCCTTCTTGCAGAAGATCAGAACGACCAAAGGGACATGAAGGGACCTTGAGGGGTGATGGAAGTGTTGCATGCCCTGACTGGAGTCATTGTCACACAGTTGAATAAGCTTATCAAAATCCAGAGAAACATAACATCTAGAAAAGATAAACTTTCCTTTCTGTAAATTATACTTCAAACTAAACTAAACAAACAAAAAGCTAAGGAAATACATCAGCAAAACCAAAATGGAAACAAAAGGTAATCTTTGACCTAAGTGACTTCCTAGGCTTTTAGTGAAGAAGTGTTTCTTTCTGTATGTATTAACAACTAAATTTTTTATTACCTACTAATTTAAATAACATTTCAATAATGCTTTTACTAAAATTATCTGTTTTAGAGTCTGTCATCCTGAGCAACATAAACGACATACACAAATATAACACCCAAGTATCACCAATTAAAGGACATAACATCAAGGAAAGAAAATCACATAAAGCAGCTCAGACAAAAGCTCCCGAGTCCCCGGATACATGAGTCTTGCTCTCAACTCCATCACCCATCACTCGAGCCTTGCACTTGACTCCCCAGTAACACAATCTGTCACAATGACTCCCATTCCCTCCTCCTGCTGGCTTTCCCTCTGCCTGGAATGCCACTCCGCTCTTGAGTGTGAAGGAACCCCACCAGCCCTTCAGCTGAGCAAGGCCTCCCGACCAGAAGCCCCCCCCGTACCTCAGGCCAGGCTAAATGCTTCTCCTCGGAGCCCATCTCTCACTGAAACACTGCCTTCATGTATCTTTTCTCTCCAGATTGCCGACACTCTGTGGAGTAATCCTGCATCTCACATTCCTTTATTCTAAGTGTCTAACATTGACAGCTACAAAGAGATGCTTGATAAATGCAAAACTCAACTTGCTATGTGCCAGGCTCTGAACTAGGTTAAGTACATTTCAGGTGAGAGAACAGGTTCCTAAACTCGAGCAAGTCCAAGGTAGAAATGAGATTAAACCCAGTTCAGGTTAGGAAGTCCAAGCTCCTTCCCATCCACTGTCCCAATTATTCAAAGAGCATTCAAGCTAAGTGACTAGAAGTTGGGGGTGGGGGTGGGGTGGGGGGGTATGGAACAATAAAGTCAGGTATAGTGTGGATCTCTCTTTTTTTTTTTTTTTTTTTTTAGTGTGGATCTCTTAAAAGGTGTGGAACTTGAACCTGAAAACATGAGAAGGGAAAGAAAGGGGAGAAAATATCAGTATAAGCGAAGGCGAAGACTAGAATTCATTAAAACTCTTTAATCTAGAACTAGGCACCATTAAAATGTATATATCTCCCTTCAAATTCCTCAACAAAACGTGATCAGGAGCAAAGCTCTCCATGCCTGAAACTAGCACAAGGCCTTATGAGCAGCAGAGCAAAAAGAAAGATTATATTTACCATGGGCCCGGACACACACCGAGGTGGAAATTGCACGCCTGCCAATCAGGCTAAATACTCTGGTCGCCAACATTCTGAAAGATAAAAAACGTACCTTCACTATGAACAAGGGTAAGCATCTATTAGGAATGATTCTTCTTTTTGCCCCAGAGCATTCTGGAAGTCAATGCAATTCTTTTGTTTCTTCTTTTCCCCAACATAAGTGACTGGATCTTCATTACTGACTATGAATTTTTTTAAAAACCTAAGATGAAGGCTTTTTTTTCCTCTCAGCAGACAGCATGTTTTAATGGAGCTCCGTCATAAACCAACTGCCATATATACACACTTTAGCCAATTCGTAGAAAACTGATTTGTTTGAGGGTTTTTTTTTTTCCCTTGGTTTTTTAAAAAAATCAGCTTTCTTAAAAAACAAAGAGGGAAAAAAATAGTTTAAGGAGACTGTGCTGCCAGTAATGGGCTCCACCTCCTAGAAGGAAAAGGTAAACCGTTTCAAGTAACTAAGAGACACGCAAAGCATTCATTACACTTGGTTATAGACTTAATATGTGCCCCGGCTTGGAAGGGGAAATGAAGGGGAAAGGATGCAAAAGCGGCCTGGTCCACTTTCAATCCCTGGAGGACAACGAATGACCGGGATAACACACCTCTCGCTTGGGCCTTTTCTGGGTCAGGCCTAGCTCCCCTATTTGCCCCTCCCTTAAAACTGGACCTTTCAGGGGGCTGCTGACGATGAAAAAGATCCCGAACGCATTCAGAAAGCAGCCCACTAAGAAGCAGAATAAACAGAAGCATGACGTCAGGGCCGAACTCGCCTCCGTTTCCCTTGTTTTCTCCCCGGCCTGGCCAGCGCCAGAGCGGGTGCCCAGCGTCCAACAGGCCTGGAAGCGGGGCGCCTCCCTCGGAGCCCCGTTACACCCCCAGCGGTGGCGCAGCACCGTCGGGAGGGGCGGCAGGGAGCCCGCGAGGCGACCTGCCCTCAGGCCGCCGCCCTGGACCAGCGGACACTCCAAGGTCAGAGCCGCAGCCAGCCCGCGGCTGCGGAAGGACAGATGGAGACCGGCCGGAGGCTTCCAGGCGTCACATAAGCAGCGACCAGGCGGCTTCCGAGCCCGGAGCCCCCAAGGGCCGGCCTCAATGTCACTGGGACGGAGGCCCAGTCGTCAGTTCCTTGTGGGCGCCCGGCCGCGGGTACGTAGGCCCGAGGGCTCCCGGAGCCCGACCCTTCTCAGCCTCGCGGCGCGGACCTGCCACCGCCCGCCTCACCTGCCGCCAATGACCAGCCGCTGCCCACCGTGCCCGCCGCGACCGCCCTCTACGGCTCGGCTGCCCGCGACCGGAAGAGAGCGAGGCCGAGCCGCGGAGCACCACGGGATCGAGGAGGACTCCACCCCGCGCCCGACCGCGCGGGAGGTCACAGGACCGGAAGTAGGTCAAGCGGCGAACGTCGTAAAACGCCGGACTGGGCGGCTTTCCGGCGGCTACTGGACGTCCGCTTTCCGGCGGCGCCCGGCGAGAAGCGCGAGTGGAGTCTTACGGTGGCCGCGTCGGCCTCTCCCGGGTGGTTAGCCGGCGTCTGAGAAGCGGAGCTCGAGCGGGGCTGGGCCCGTCAGGGGCCCTCGCCAGCCGCGGGGCCGCGCCAGGGAGCCGCCGCCTCGTCCTGCTTCTCCCCTGAGGCGCCGCGCGGCCGGGCAGCGGATCCAGGCCTCGGCCGGCGCCGGGCCTCCGGGGCCCTCCCGGGCTCAGCATGCCCGGGGTGAAGCTGACCACCCAGGCCTATTGCAAGATGGTGTTGCACGGCGCGAAGTACCCGCACTGCGCGGTCAACGGACTGCTCGTGGCCGAGAAGCAGAAGCCGCGCAAGGAGCACCTGCCCCTGGGCGGCCCGGGCGCCCACCACACCCTCTTCGTGGACTGTATCCCCCTCTTCCACGGCACCCTGGCCCTCGCCCCCATGCTGGAGGTGGCCCTCACCCTGGTAAGCGCGGGAAGGGGCTTGCCTCGGAATTAGCGAGACAGGAGACGGGCTGACAGTCGGCTTCCGAGCCGTCCCGGCTAGAAGCTCAGGGTGGTCCAGCCGGAGTCTGGACCCAGCACCGCCGAGTTCGCCGTGACCGTGAACGGACGACCTGCGAGGGCGCGTTGGTCTTTGCCTGCACGCACTTAGCAAGCGCCCCTCAGATGGCAGGTAGCTCGTCGTTGCAGCGGCCGAAGGGGCGACCTCAGTCGTCCCGGGTGTTTTTAGAACGCCTTAGGCGACGGAAAAGGCACCGATTTTCTCACACCAGTAGCCCTTATAGAAACACGCCGCTGTTAACCGAACGTCTGTATTTGGAATTTTGGGTAGCGGGCAGTTTGGACGTTGCCGTCGGGCTCGCGCGCACCGTCGCGGGGCCGGATCCGTGTCTGCCGTAGGTGTGAAGGCGCGGTTCTTCCCACGTCACTGCCCCGGGACACCCAGGGTGGACCCACGGTTAGAAAGGCGGCGTCGAGCGCTCCGTGAACAAAACTTTGTCTGTCCTCTTTAGTGACATCTGGAATGCACCCGTGGTTTTAAAAGCTGAAGACTGTGGAATTTGAAAGCCAGAGCAGACTTGCTTTCCAGCCCACACACTTCTGTGGGTCTGCTCACGACTGGTTTTTTTGAAGTACAGTGGGAGAAGGTGTGGCATAGGAACAGACCGACTGGTTATTGAATTCTAGGCTGTAGCTGTTGAGGTATGGTGACCGGTGAAGGAAAAAAGACCACCTATATATTTGAGTTAAAACCTTAGGGAGGAGTAGGCTCAGACCTACCTGGGTTGAATATGTCTGTGATACTAAAAGAGAATTAGTTGATTCATGCAGAGTAGTTAAGTTTGAGAAGAGTATTAGAAATCCTTTCTCTCTGCATCCCAAGGAGTAAAATGAATCCATTTTGTAAATTACCTAATTATGACAGATAAGCAGGAAGTATCTTTAGACCAGTGGTCCTTGCCTAAGCTTACTGGGCACATCTTTGAGTACCTGTTAAACTGAGTCATTGTGTGAATTTTTTCCTATCATCGTGGGGCAGAACATAGATAGAAAGTAGATGATGTGTATAGAATCAACCATTTTAGCTCCTAAAGAAACGTGCTGTTGGTATCAGTGTGTTCCTGGGGTATGCCTGTGTCTGTTTTAATGCAAGTCTTTTCAGCTCCCTATCTTGATTATTCTATCAAGAGAACTGTGTGGTGATTGGCCATGTGAAGTCCAGTCACTCGAAGGGAACTCAACTGACCAGTAGTACTAATGCAGCTCTCCAGTACAGCCAAGCCTGTGCTAGGGGAAGGATATTGCTATGGATCAAATACAGTACATGCATAGTGGTTGAACTTGTACCAGGCAGACAAGTACAGTACTGTAGAATAAGTGCCATAAGGGCGGGGTGGGGCGGTCCACTGACCCAGGCTGGCAGAGTCAGGGAGGGCAGGCTGCCCAGAGAAAGGGACATGCAAGTGGTGGCCCAAGGAGCAAGGCTGCAGGAGGGGGACAGAGGGACCAGGTGAAAACCAGGTTGGGGGGGCGGGGGGGACTTTCAGAGATGAGCTAGAAGGTAGAGTATAAAGGGACCAGACAGAAAAGAGGTGAGCGGTGGACAGATTCATCGTAGAAATCATTCCGGGACACTGCTCGCTCTGCACCACTGCATCTGTACTCCAGACGCACCTTCCAGCATTTCCCCAAATGTGCCCTTCAGTGTTGGAGTCTCCTGTCCAACAGAATTAAGTGCTAACTAGGTTTTCTGCACTTAGCTTCTTTTCAGACAGTAAAAACTGTCTGAATGTCTGTCCTTGCCAAGCAGTGTGGTGGTTTGTGCTCACTTTTCTTATATTGATCAAAACTTTGAATCATAGACTCAGCATTTAACAAGTAGGAGAACAATGTCAATTGAGTACAAATTAACTTTCAGAATAAAATTATAAAGAAAAAATTGCCATTTGAAACCATCTACAAGTTTTTGTGTTACTGTTATTTGTTTATATCATTCAGGTTTTGTCTTAGCAAATTTATAACCTGAAGGCAATGAAAAATCTCAGCCATAGTTTATCAGCTGTAGAAAATGTTTTAATAAAGCATCTAAATCCATAAAATGATACAGGAGGCCTAATTCTGATAGCTTGTTTCTATTCAGGGAGTTTTGTATTGAGTTATTTTTGATAAGTGGGAAAGACTGACTTGGTATGCTGGCCATCAAAGGGCAGCATCAAATTCCTTTGCAAGGCTTTTCATTATAATTTTCCATTTAAAAAAATCCTTGCATTTCTGGGAGCTTTCTATTTTTTTTTTAAGTACTTAGGCCTGTTATCTTAATTTATCCTTACAACCCTTTGACGTAAGTAGTGATGGAATTATTTCTAATAGCAAAAACCCATAAAATGTCAGTAAGGAAATTAGCATAAAGCTGCTATTTCCATAAGCCCTCTTTGTCCTCCCCTACCCCCCCAAACACACACACCCCCACTGTGATTTCCTAGTGCTGGGAGCTGCTTGTCGGTACCTTCTGCTCAGATGCCTTCCTCGTTTGACTTGGGCCTGGGATTCCTTCTGCTGCCCCCATGTGTGCCTTCTCTGTGATCATCTGCACAGGCTCCCGCCCCTCTGGCTCTCGGCTCAGCCCCCTACTTCCTCCTGGGAGGGGGAGCTGGCTGCTCTGGGCTCTCCTCTCAGTTCTTCCTGTGACCTTCACTCTGTTCCCAGGCCCCTTATCACCAGCGCTCTTCCTCCAAAGCCAGCTCCTCCTCGTGGAAGAATCAGCTGCTGATTTGAGGATCTTTTTCTTCTCTGTGAAACTAGGCAACCCCTCTAGTTTTAGACTCCAGGGCCTGGGTGTTGCTGCAGACAGGGAGGCTCCTAGACACCCTAGCTTGTGAGTGACCAGCCTGGAAGCAGCACCCTCCTTGGGGTGACTATTACTTAGCAGTGCCCTGCCTTGCCTGCTTTGTGGCTGTGGTCACGGAAGTGCGTGCAATGTTATGAGAACGCCAGGTGCCTCGCTCATGCAGACACTAGCAAGTTTGCTGAGAGAAGCTGCTTTCTTTGTCCAGCCTAGCTGGGAGTGGACGAGTGAGCCCGGAGCCTTTAGTAGTTCTCCTGCATGTCTGCGAGGGAGCAGGCCTGAAAGACGTGAACAGAGTGTGGTGGCTTGTGCCAAGGTGACAGTGTCCTTTCCATCTGAAAAGTAAAGGAAACTACATAAGTGAATGCAAGATTTGGACCTTGTATGAAAGTCACTTGCCAGGTATCAGAGTGCCATCGTGAACGTTTTCATTTTGATTGTTCACAAGGTGCATCACAGGAGGAGGACACCATAGCAGCGGAAATGAATTCACTGAGAACAGAGTTCAGACAGCTTCTCAGCTCTTTTGCTTTGTCCTGCCACACTTGGCAGAGAAAGCAATGGCACCCCACTCCAGTACTCTTGCCTGGAAAATCCCATGGACAGTGGAGCCTGGTAGGCTGCAGTCCATGGGGTCACTAAGAGTCGGACACAGCTAAGTGGCTTCACTTTCACTTTTCACTTTTATTGGAGTGAAGCATTGGAGAAGGAAATGGCAACCCACTCCAGTGTTCTTACCTGGAGAATCCCAGGAACGGGGGAGCCTGGTGGGCTGTCGTCTATGGGGTCGCACAGTCAGACACGACTGAAGCGACTTAGCAGCAGCAGCAGCAACCCTACTTGGAGGGTGCGAGTTGCCTACTGTATAATCTGCCGCTTATATCCACTCGGGCATTTTGTTAACAAGCTGTTTGGGCGGACTGCAGGATTCTGAAACCCCTCAAGAGCCACCTGCCCCATCCCCAAGCAGCAGACTGTCCACACTGCTTGCCTTCCCCCACATACTGACCCTCATGTGCTCTGTCACTCACTGATGAAGTCTGGTTCCACTGAAATTGTGTACGCTACTTCTGTGGACTCTGATGGCTGGTTCTCCAGTCATCATCTAGTGGCCACTGGTGTCTCTCTGGACAGTGGATGTGCATGCCCATCACAGGCATCCAGACTTCACTTGGTGATTCTTATTTGAATCACTGAAAGGTTTCGAAAGCCAAGCCCGAGCTTTTGTGACCTGGTTCACTTTGGGAGCAGCCTCTTCAAAGAGTTCTACTAGGAGTTCCCTGAGGTCCAATAGTTAGGACTTGATGCTTTCCCTGCCGGGGCCCCAGGTTCAATCCCTGGCCAGGGAACTAAGATTCTGCAAGCCATGTGATGCAGCCAGAAAAACCAACAAAAAACAAAGAGTTCTACTAGAAGTATAAGGTCATGACATTATTTTTCTGCTGGAGTTTGGCTAGGCCTTTAGAGTGTTTTGTCCAGGAATTCACCCCTCTTTAGGTAGAGTGTCAGTTGAGGTATGTTTGTTTGTCGGAAGAATCCGCCATCTTGTCAGATGCCTTCTCTGCTGTCTGAGCTCAAGTAGAGGGTGACCTGTGTGTTTGTTGGCGACTGAATCCCAAACCATTCCCTTCAGCCCAGGAGCAGGATTGGGGAGCAGCTTAGACTGCTCACTGAAGAGTGTTGTGGGAGCTCCCGATGGCCTGGTGTTAGGGTTTGGTGCTCTCACCGCTGTGGCCTGAGTTCAGTGTCTGGTCAGGGAACTGATACCCCCAAGCCTCGCTGCAGGCTGCAGGACAGCGGCAGTGGGAAATAATCATCTTATCCTTGCATTAAAGGTAGCTGTGGTAGGCAAAAAAAAAAAAAAGTGCCCCTCCCCTCAAGATGTCCACGTCCGAGTCCTTGGACCCTTGGACAGGTAACCTTACATGGAACAAGAGACTGCAGATAAGATTAAGTTAAGGATCTTGAAATGCAATGATTATCCTGGATTATCTGATGGACCCAGTATAATCACAAGGGTCCACACAAGAGGCAGTGGGGTAAGAGTCAAAGAAAAAGAGTTTTGACAACAGAAGCAGGGGTCAGAGTGAGATAGCTACTTCCTGAGGAATGTGGTGACCTCTCCGTGTGGGAAAAGGCAGGGAGCAGATTCTCCCCTCGAGTCTCCGCCAAGAGTCAGCCCCACGGACTCGTTTTAGACTTCTGACCTGTGAAACAGATCTGTGCTGTGTTAGGCCACTAAGTGTTCGTACCAGACTCAGGACACTCTCTGTAGTTGTGACTCTGGATGTAAGAGCAGCCAACACCACGGAGACAGGCGAGGGGCGCAGAGGTGGGCAGAAGTGAGGGTCACCTACATGAGGATGCCCTCAAGAGACCAGTCTTCAATCAGAAACAAAGGCTGAGAGAGTGACACCAAAGGGCGGGCCAGTGGGTGGGTGTGAGTTCAGGAAATGGGACCGAGTGCCAGGTTTTAGAAGTAGGCTATGCCCTTCGATACCACATGGAGGTAAATTTAGAAAGAAATGAAAGAATTTTGCTGCTGTAAGC